CTGATCCTACTGTGATGTATACCATCAACGCAAGATTCTTTACAAGTCCACATGCCTGGTATAACAGCCAGATAAATACTTAGGTGCCACATACAGAAAGAAAGGGTTTCTCAAAGTAACTTACGCATTCAGAAATTTAACACACAATACTCACTTGTCCTTCAGGTGTTTCAGCTGGGCACATCATCCCCCACTGTGAGTTATGCAACTGCCGTGGTTTGGCCAATTTCCCTGATAAAAGAAACCTCAATTAAAGGGAAGGAGGAGAAATTCACAATGACAAGCCACATGTAGGTAGCAACATGATGATTTCAGGGGCAAGAAACGACGCCAAAAGCTTTTCACCTTATTGAACAGATGATACTTGTATTTGCAATCCAAAGGCCTTACAGGTGAACCTTAACTATACAATACACAGAAGAAGCCAGAAAGTAGTTTTACCTTCACGCCCTATGGGAGAATTTAGCCTTCTCAAGTGTGACAAGGTGGACGCATATGTCAAACGATTTAACACCTGTTAAAAAAATTTGAATTCCAAATTAATGAATTTGGTACATGATTTTATACAATTGATAAGCTTAAATCGACCAATGCAAACCCACCCCACATTTAAACAACCTGACCAAAGCATGATGGAATTATAACTGCCAAACTCAACAGCAGAACTTAAAAGAAAAATGCTAAAAGTACCTGTGACACTCCAGCCCTTGTACCAGCTGCATTTGCTTGCCCCCAGTTCCCAGTAGCAAGTGAATATTTGAGGCCACTAGTGATTGTTTTAGCTTTGATGGCAAATTGCAGGTTAAGTTCCTTTCCATTATCAACACACTGCACCATGCATGGATTGTGTAGGTATAAACCCAAATATAATAATTACAGCAACTTAAATAAGTCAGAGTTCATGTAAGGAACCTTTTGCACATAACCTCTCACATCCCTAGTCAACTTCCTGAATAACTGCACTTGCATATACAATTCTATGGTCAACCAAATAATGACAAAACAAATTTCATATAACCTCCAATTTCCACCAGAAAACAAACCATTCGAAACAAGCCTCCCAGTAAGGGACCAGCAAGATCCAGCCTCTTGTTGCCATAATGATCCCTATCATCTTCTGCCCTCCGACCAAGTGCACACAGTAGAAGCCTGTGAATGATATATCTGGTACAAGAAACAGCATGTATTCAGTACACAATTCAGAAGCCACCCTAATGCTAATGCGTGTCCTACAAGTAAAACCTACCCAAAATAGTAAGCTTTCTTTGTCTCACAAAATTCTCCAACACCAACATGTGGAAGCATTTCCTTTTGAAGGATCTCTTTTGCATACCTGTGCATACGATGCATAAGATAATAATCTCATGAGCACTACAGAAGGTTATGCAAAACATCTTGAGGCCCTGCAAATTTACAAAGATAACACATACTTGATCCTCTTTTCTCTACTAACACCAACAGTTGCACCTCTTTTTCCAATATAGTCGAGTGCAACCTGCAACAGGAGAGAATAATATACCATTTGACTATAAGGGAATCGAGACATCTGTAAACTCCGCAAAATAAATCGACAGAGAGAGACACCTGTTGATTTTGAATCACAAATGCTTCTTCCAGAGAAGGTCTAAGCAACTCCATCATCTGAGTATCAGAGAAGTCATAACATATATGCTCTAATATGTCTTTATCAGCAACAAACCCGAGAGCTCGGAACACAATAATAATAGGAATTTCAGCTCGAATGTATGGAAGAGTAGCACGGATGTATTGTCCAGAAGAACCCTGCAATAATATAAATGCCCGCAAACAAAATCCATATAAATAAAACATACAACATAAACAAAACAACAAAATTGCCACAATCAAATTCATTACCCCTTTAGAACTAGTCCGAGCAAGCATCCGCACAAACATTGTACTGGGCGGTCTGTTTTGGGACTCCGCCATAGACCGAACTTCCGCCACATAGGCATACTTGTTAGGCTGCCTCTTTTTGAACACGTAGACATGATTGGTGCTCATCTTCTCTTGGGCAATCAGAACCTTTTCACTCCCATTTATAATAAAATATCCACCTTGATCATATGGACACTCTCCCAGCTCTGTTAAATCTTTTTCGGAATTCTGGTACAACGTGCAATAACTAGACCGAAGCATTATAGGAACCTGATAATATACAGCAATTGAATGAATTTGTTAACAATGTTGAATCCATACATCATTACTAAAATGTTCGCATTACACACCTTTCCAATGAATACTTTGGTGAAATCCTGAGTTTCGGTGACTTCTTCACCATCATGTCCTTTCTTTACAATGCTCTTTGAGACATCCACATACAAGGGTGCTGAGTACGTTAGATTTCTCAACCTGGCAGCTTTGGGAAATAAGGTTGCAGTTTCTCCATCGGACTCGGTCATCATGGGCTTACTCAAATAAATCTGACCGAACTTAATCCTATATGTAGTCTGCAATCCAACCCAACAGTATTAAAGAGCCAAAGAACATAACCACCAAATATGCTCAAAATTCTACTTTAATTTCCTAAAAATACACAAATGTGAGAAGGAAACCTAGCTCGCAATATACTTATAAATTTTAGTTTTCATACGCTAACTGTTAGCCCTAAATTCATGGAAACCACGAAGCTCAATCTCACATAGGATTGAACAAAGGACAATCTACCTCGGCGAAATCAGGCTGGTGGCCCGGGTTGTGCTGCGACTCGGGGCGAATCTCGATATCGGCCGACTCATCGACAATTTCCTGCATTGTGTTCTGAATGAACTCGTCGAATGAGTCGAGCTGTTGGCGCACCAAACCCTTCTCTTCGAAGTAGGCTGAGATGACGGCCCAGGCGTCCTCCTGCGTGATTTCATCTTCGTCGTCGTCGTTGTACTGCTGGTCGTCGTACTCGGGCTCCTCGTCCATGAATGTGGTTGCGGATCGGAATTCGAAACCCTAGGTCTGGTTCGGTTCTTTGTGCCCGACTGAACGGTGCGTTTGCAAGTGAGCAAAACCCTAGCAGAGCTTTTCACTGTTCAGGTTCAGAGGAGCTTCGAAAGAGGTGAGGTTGCGAGGTTTGAAAATAGAAAAAAGAGAGAGAACTGTCGTTTTACTAGCACTTGCGGGTATGGATCGTCTTATTTTTTGCAGCCGTTGCTTCCTGTCTTCAGTACATAGAGGCGGTTCAAGCCAAAGAGAAGAGCAACCAAAACAATAACAAAAAAATTGTGAGAATTTGGATTCTATTTTTTTTTCTGCCAATAAAACTATTTCTATAATGTAACAAGTCTTAATTAATGCAGTGATATTTCATCTATATTATTGTAAAACATGAACTTTACCGAGTCTTTAAGACATTTGTAGAACACAGATGTATTATTGAAAAATACGTACATACGTGTATAATACATTATTAAACGTGAAAGTGCTAAAATCTTTATACAAGTAATAACTCTGGAAAAGTAAAAATCAAAAGGGGACAATAGAGACTTGCGTAATGACCTAATAGTAATGGATAATGCTCTAAACAACTCTTATTGATAAATGAAAATCAAAGAAAAAAAAATCTCACTATATATATAAAGAGTATAGTCGTGCGGCTCTTGGGCTCTAGAGAAATTTAATTGTCTTTAATATATTAAAATATTTACTAAAAAAATAATAATTAAAACATAATGACTAATTAAAGTAATTCAAAAAGGCTAAAATATTACTTAATTACATATATTAAATTAACGAAGTTGGCCAAAAAAAATAAGTAAAGAAACCAATTTTATATTTTCAAAATTAAATAATTAAAAAAACCTCTCCTGACAAGAGTTCGTTACACTTCTATGCCGACGAAATTTGCCGGTTTATAAATTTTTTAAAAAAATTGTTATAGCCGTTCGGCTATACTATATATATATAAAGACCCGCCCAGAGCCTAGGCGCCACATGTCAAATGAGTACAGCCGTGCGGCTATACTATTTATAAATATATAAAAACAACCCGCCCATCGGCTAGGCGCACGTGTCCAACAAGTAAAGCCAATCGGCTGTACTATTTTTATATAAAAAAATTAGGAAAAAACCAAGTATAGCCGATTGGCTATACTATTTCTTTTTATATATAAAAAGGACCCGCCCGTGCCTAGGTGTCATGTGTCAAAACAGTAAGGCTGAGCGGCTATACTATTTTTTGAAAAATAAGGAAAAAACTAGTACTGCTGGGCGGCTATACTATATTTTTTTTTAAATTAGGAAAAACGAGTATAGCCGGTCAGCTATACGATTTATAAAAAATTAATTTTAACAACCGGGTATAGCCGCTCGGCTATACGATATATAAATATATAAAAAGTACACGCCCAGCGGCGAGGCGCCATGTGTCAAAAAAGTAAAGCCATGCGGCTATACTATTTTTATAAAAAAAAAATTAGGAAAAAACTGAGGGGAAAGATCTACTCAGACGAATTGCGTCAGGAAAGGTCACCTTTTTTATATAAACAAAATTAGTTTATTTCTTTTAATATTTGTAATTAAGTTATATCTTAACCTTATTTAATTACTTTAATTGATAATTATATTTTAATTATTATTTCTTTAGTACAACGCATACATGTGATTATAGTTTAATTATTATTTATCAATTATAGTTTAATTGATAAATAATGCTACAATAGTGTTTTATAGCACAATTTTTTGATGTAAACATGTCATGACTCTTAATTGAATCTGTTTTGGAGTTTCCTTATCTTTAAAAAGAAACATATATGGCATGACATGCACTACAATCATCCTTATAAAAATTCATTCATCATAAATTCAAAATAATGTCCATATTTTGAGAGTCAATATATCATACAATCAATATGAATAAATGTAACATGCAATATGAGAAGAATGATCATATGGCGCGCATGCATCTGTCTATGTGTATACACAAAATTTCCATGGATGTATAATATGGCTAGCTATATTGTATTGTCTCTGTGGAAATCGACCTTCAACTACCCTCATAACTAGTTATATTATCAGTTGCCAGAATCTGCCTGCAATGCACAGAAACTGCTTATAGAAGCCACTAATTAATGAGAGTCTTAATCTTAAACCACGTGGTTAAATCTGGAAACACCCTTTTGCTCTGTACATGTTTAATTGGCTCGTTATTAAGATCAAAATCTTCATAAATTTGTAGGTAACCAAACCCTTTCTGCTATAAAGAAATACAAAGAAAACAAGTGCCCCACCCTCTATCTGTCCTCCTAACACCCTAAACATCTCTTGCTCTATATACCCTTCTAATTTTATTAGCTGAAGCCTGAAACATCGGATTATTTCCTTCCTCAATTGATCTCCATGACTAAGATTAGGAAGATCTTCACCTTTCTGCTAAGGCTGCTAGCTTTGGCTGCAACTCTGTCTGCCACCATAGTTATGGTCACAAGCCATGACTCTGCCAATGTCTTGAACTTAACATTCAAGGCCAAATACAGCAATTCGCCTGCTTTCATGTAAATTTAATCTAGTTTCTAATCAACCCTTTTCCTCATAATCATGTTCTAATCATTTTATTTTATGATTTTTAAATGTGTTTGCTCATGGCAAAGGTACTTTGTGATTGTGGAAGCAATTGTAAGTGGATACAACCTTATGATTCTGTTTCTTGCTTCAAAGGGTTCGCTTTGGCGCATGGTCATCATTCTAGATGTGGTAAAGAAAGCATTTTTCTTTCTATTTTTTGCATTTTTATTTCATATTTCTATGTATTTTTTTCATATGATGAACTGATATTGAGGTCCTTTTTTCCGATTTGAACAATTTTGCACAGGTTGTGGCTTTGTTACTTACTTCAAGCATGTCAGCAGCCTTGGCAATAGCTCAAGTGGGCAAGAAAGGGAACACTCATGCTGGCTGGCTGCCCATCTGTGGACAAGTCCACAAGTTCTGCAATCATGTAACAGGAGCTCTTGTTGCTGGCATCATTGCAGCAACATTATATTTTCTGCTTATTCTCTACACTCTTTACACTGTTCTCAATCCTCTGTTTGTTGTAAAACCTTAATTTTGTTGTTTTCATTTGATCTTTCCCCAGTGTAAAAAAAAAAGAAAAAAAGTTGAACGTAATATGCTCTAGTGTTCAGTACCTGAAGGACTGTTTGGATGAATGGAAAAGTCTTTTTCATAATTTTCTTTTTCTTTGAGAATTGTTCAACGGAAACTATAACCAACTGCCAGTGCCACCTCTTATATTTCTCTCAGATTCATATATATGACTTGTCTCATTGTCTTTAGTGTCTTTTTGACGCATGTTGGTGGTTATTATTTACAAACAGTGGTTTAAAAATCCAATTCAAAGCAGATTTCCACCTACTCCAAAGGGTAAAGAGAGATTTACTCCGCACCAGTCCAATCAATTCTGACCATCCAATCAGATAACACACTAATATCATCTAACGGCCAGCATCAACCTTATGATATCCGTGATGCACCATAATGACCACAACTAAAATTTCTCTGGATGCCGTTGGAACCATCCCCACAACCAAATAGAAGTTATGTCGAACTGAGGAACAGTGACACACAAACATCTCTGGAACCCCAAGCTGTCAAAGAAGATGGTTTGTGGAATTCTTAGTTTCAGCTCTGCTCTATCTCCAATCTCCATATCTCACTATAGAAATAGAACAGATCCAAAGCTCAAGACCGATCTTTCTTCTTCTGTTACACTTGGAATTCGATGCTCAAGTTCTAGCTCAGATGTGGCTCAAACCTTTGGTAAGTTCACCAATTCTATCTCCTTCTTTTTTTCTTTTCTTATTTCAATTTCTCATTCAATTCCCACAGAAAGGTGCCTCTGGATGGCTTCAGAATTCAAATTCTTTATTTTGAAAAGATTGATGGGTTGTTCATAGTTTTCTGTCATTTTTGTTTTGTTATCCAAGAAAAATCTGAGAATGATGCTGCTATGACTGGTGGTGCATTTGACTTCACAAGAGCAACAACATCACTTACAGATAATAAGTCAATCGCTTCATCAAAGAAGGTAACTCTTGTCCGGCATGGCCTTAGCTCTTGGAATGAAGAAAGTAGAGTTCAGGTTAGTTGCTTAATTAATTAATTAACTATGATAAAAGGAATTTAAGTTGGTTTTTTTTTCCTGCTCTAGATTATGCATCTGTATTAGGCATATCAAATGTGCTGAATTATTTTTTCTCCTTTCATATAGAAAATATTGAGCTGTTCTTTGAAGCTTAACCCTGGATGTATGTACAGGGAAGCTCAAACCAATCTGTCCTGACAGAAACTGGAGTGATGCAAGCAGAGAGGTGCAGAAAAGCCATTGCAAAGATGCATTTTGATCAGTGTTATTCGAGTCCAATATCTCGGGCCAAGGTTTGAAGTTGAACATCTTTCTGAAGTATGTTATGGACCTTATTGCATTTAATTTCAAAGCAGATTTTAATTGTGGGTTTCTGAATTCTGATGCAGTCCACTGCTGAAATTATATGGCAAGGGAGGGAGGAGCCGCTCGTTTTCCTCGACTCGCTGAAGGAGGCTCATCTGTTTTTCCTTGAAGGCATGAAAAATGGTCAGTTTGCTCGTGTTTTACTTCCTGGTTTTAATTCGTTCCGAATTCATGCATTCTAGAATCATACTAAACCACGTTCAGAATTTGGAGGCAGAGGATGCCAAGCAGAGATATCCAAAGGAGTATGCAACGTGGAGAGAGGACCCTGCTAATTTTTATGTGAATGGAATCTATCCTGTAAGAGAACTATGGGGAACAGCCAGAGAGGCTTGGAAGGAGATCTTGTTAACACCTGTGAGACATGACATCGTTTCTTGCTATCATGATACAAATTTTGTTTGTTGACGCTAATTTTAGATAATATAAAAGATGTGTAAACAAATATCTTTCTGATGTATCAGGGAGAACATGTTTTAGTCATCACTCACAAATCAATTTTGAGGGCACTGATCTGCACAGCTTTAGGGCTAGGCCCCGAGAGGTATGTTGTCGGCAATGCAGTTTAAATATCAAGAAAAATGCAATGTTGGTATCCTGACAATGCTGTTGATGGTTCAGATTTCGTGCCATTGATGTGAACAACGGTGGAATCTCTGTATTCAATTTCAACAAGAAAGGAGAAGCAATGATTCAATCTTTGAACATGACCGCCCACATGTACAGTGATCATGTTTATCTTTACTGAAACTTAGTGCGACTTGCTGACTGATGAGGAAAAATGAAGAGAGCATACACAGCATAAAAAAGGTGTTGGAAAGAAGTTAAAACCAAGAGTTCCTCATAGGACATTGGTATGTATTTTTTCTCAGAGTCGAGGTTTCAAATTCAAATGACAAGCTTGGGGTTGTGAAAGGTGGATGGGTAAAACATGCATGCAGTAATTGCTGCAGAGTAAGCTTCAGGCTTTCTTGTATTAGTAACAGAAGATGTACGTTCTACTTAGAAAACAAACAAGACATTCATTTCTGCCAATTATTGTTATGGATCAATCTCACCGAACAAAATTCTTGGAAATAAAAGAATTCTTCTATATATGTATATATGTATTAGTCTACAATGGAAGACAAACCTGAATCATAAAGTATGAAAGAATAAAAGGATGGAGGAGAAGGACTGTTTCTCTTCGAAAATGCTTTTATAATCCAGAAACGCATTTATTAGTAGGCTCAGGTTATCATGCCAAACTCAAAATGTGAGTGTGAGAGTGGGTGGTAGAAGTTCAATAGGATCACTTTGTTTGTTTGAGTGACTGGAGAAGGACTAGGATCTGAGGACAATGACATGGAATATGAAGTGAATATCAGATATTAAAAGAAGCTTTATGTTCCCCCCCCGCAGCTCATAAAAAAAGAAGAAGAAGCTTTATGTTATAAACCTTTATCAATTCTCTCATTGTTCTGTATCTCGTTCTTCTCTTCGTTATTTTTTGTTTGTGCTTTTTTTTTTTTGGTTAGGATGGAAAGGTCACTGATACATTAGAAGGTGCAAATCCTTCTAGTTTGGCCAATAAAGTTGCTAGGGTTGTTGGGTCAGCTAAGCCCAGAGAACCTAGCCTTGAGACAGTCCAAGAGTTAGCAAAAGAAAATGGATCTTTCCAGGAGCAAGAGCAAATTCAAGCACAACTGGCCTTGATGATGCCTCGAAAAGGCGGATGCACCAGCTGATTGACTCTAATGGAGTCATGCTTTTTATGAAAGGAGCCACCAGGGAGCCCAAATGTAAAGTTAGCAGATTGGCTGTTCACATTTTGAATAAAGAGAAGGTCAAATTTGGAACTTTCGACGTTCTTTCAGACAATGTAGTTATGGAGGGGATACAAAAGTATTCTAACTGGCCAACAATACTGCAGCTTTACTACAAAGGGAAGCTTGGTGGTTGGGGTGACATAGCATATTTAATGCGTCGTAATGGTGAATTAGGAGAATTTTCCAGAGACCATGAAACCAACTCACAGAATTGTGATAATTAATTTATGAATGATCAACAATCAAATTGTTGGTTAGATATTAGAATACACACCTGAACAGCTGTTGACTGAATTTTTATATTATGTAATCAAATTTGGGCTCACAAGATTATCAAATTTGGCCTCAAATTTGACAAGCATGGGGATTCTGAAAGGTTGATGGGTGACAACCCTGCATGCAGTAAATGCTCCAGAGTAAAGCTTCAGGGTTTCTTGTACTGATAACAGAACATATACATTTTATTTAGAAAACAAACAAGAGATACATTTTTGCCAAATATTGTTATGGATCAATCACACCGAACAAAAAGATTCTTGGAAGTAAATGAATTCTTGTATATAGTAGTATCTACTATCAGTATATGTCTGCAATGGAAGACAAAACTGAATCATCAGTAAGAAAGAATAAAACAATGCAGCATGAAGACACTCTCTTTCTAGAAAGCACTTATACGATCCAAGAAAGTGCTTTTGCGATTCAAAAGTACTTTTAAGTTTTTATGCCCGAATAACGCTTTTTCCACTTCCAAAAGCAGGTCCTAGGACAGATTTCTTTCCCGCATGAATGATTCTATCTTCTCCACATCTTCTGGAGTATCAACACCGTGAGCCTCATGATCAACCTTGATCACCTGTGAGAGGTAATCATGAGTTCGAAATAAATATTTTTTCAAAATACCAGTCCATCTATATAAATGAAAAACCACCCAACATCGGATTGTTTGTGATCTAACTATACTCAGATTCTGATGCCTTATTTAGCAGCTCACTGATAAGGAGAGAGAAAAAGAACTTATCAAATGAAATAAGATTGATCGAAATACATAGAAGAGTCTTATGACCAAGCAATACCTTCATCTTATATCCATTCTCAAGGACTTTAAGCTGCTCCAAATCTTCTTCCAGTTGTAATGGAGTAGGTGCAAGCTCCGGATATTTCCTCAAGAACTTTGCATCATAGCTCTGGTAAGACACAAGAATGGCATAACTGGTTGGCAACAAGTAGGAGATACATTACATATTAAGGCTCACAAGTGCTGTAACATAAAGATATGCTGATACCTGGATACCAAGATGAAGTAGATATGGAAAACGTGGATTGACCTTGGCTGACCTGTGTTGTTGTGTACATGAAAATTTATCAAGTTGGTGACGATGTTATGTTATATTGCAGATATGCTAAAATCTATAGTAAAACTTACTTATTGCATGGGATCAAGCCCCTCGAAAAATATATTGCATAACCATGACTGTCCACCACGCATTTCACCCGATTGGGATCGGATGCATCTTCAGGTTTCAAAGAAGTAGCTGCAGTGCTAAATACAGCATCAGGGGCAGCCTATAACAGTAATCAAACAAAAAGGGGAAGAAACGATCAATTACATTCAGAACCAAAAAAACAAATGAACCTAAAGTCTAAAGAATAAAATCTATAGCCAGCCACATAATGATTTGGACTATTTGATCGCCATAGACTCATCATTCTAGTTCACAAAACAATATGAGTTGAAAAGAGAACAGAATATCAATAAATGACTGTTAAAAAGTGTGATTTCATAACATATTCATCTTGAAGGAGCAGAACGGTAACTAACATGAGAGGATAAAGAACTTACTTGCAGGGCCTTGACAACCCCATCTATTATCTCGGGCTCTATAAGAGGCTCATCTCCCTGAATGTTAACAACAATATCAAATTTCTTTTTGAACTTTTGGAGGGCCTCATTGCAGCGTTCAGTTCCTTCAGATCATCAGACATTTATAAGAAACTTAAAAAATAATTCAAGTTTACTAACAATCAGTAAAATAGAAATATTGTGAACCATGGCTCTTACCATTTCTGCAAGTATCTGATGTCATTATCACATCAGCTCCAAACCCCAAACAGCACTCTGCTATTTTCTCATTATCCGTAGCCACAACTAGTAGAAGAGAAAATTTAAGAACTTTTTGGTCAACAAATCACCACTTAATAACACAGAACTTATCATTTTGACAAATAAAACATATGAGGTTGACTGCTGGAAGTACCAAGTTGGTCCAGCGTGGTTGCAAGTTTTGCTCTTTCCCACGTCCTCTACAAGGCACAGAAAGATAGTTAAGCAAATGATCGTAGCATCTGCCCAGTTTATACCAAAAATGATTACACATTCTACTTCCATGCTATTGTTTACAGTTTTCCTCCATTTGTCAAAGACATTGAAAAAGAAAATAAAGAAGATGAAGAAGAAAACTTCTCATTGTCAAAAGTTCAAACACTTGAAACGCAAAAGAATTGATACCCAAAATCCCGACTAGTCTCTCTCCACCACACCACACAATTAAACAACCTTTGAAATGATTAATCAAGTTCTCTTTTTTCTTTCATTAACATTGCGTTCATATAATGCAACAATTTAAGTAAACTAAAAAAAAATGAACTTGAAAGAAAAAAGAAGAAGAAAAACGATCACAAGAACCTGGATCATGGGTTTGCCGAGGATTGGGACCAGAGGTTTGCCTGGAAATCTGGAGGAAGCGAAACGAGCCGGTATGATCCCCACCACGTGGCTCCGTAACCTTGCGGATCGGCGCCTGGATATCACCGTGTACGCTACGGCCGCAGCTGCTACAGCCGCTCCGGCGAGCAGTCCCTGCGCAAGCCATGAACGGTTGGTGCCGTCAGAGACAGAGGATGAGGAAGAGGGGCCCCTCATGGTTCTGCGATCTCCGCTAGGTTAGGGGTTCGGCGGACGGTGGCGCGTGAGTTTGCACTGAGAGTGTCTGCGCGTGTTGGAGAGTCTGATATCTCGGCGGCGCGAACTGTAAACTAATTTGTAATGGATGTGTGAAACGGTGCGTTTAGGGTAGTAGCGTCAAAGCTCAGGACTTCGAACCCAAAGTTTTTATTTTAATGGAAGCCAAACAGCTCGCAGTCACAGGTTCTTCAACCCCACAGTCTCCGGTTTACCGAGCTCTTCTCCGAGCCGGCCCGTCTCTCAGAGCCCTGCAACAAGTTCATGGCCACATTGTTGTCTCCGGCTCTCACCGCAGCCGAGCTCTCCTCACCAAGCTCATAACTTTGGCTTGCGAAGCCGGCTCAATTTTCTACACTCGGCGGCTCTTCCTCTCTGTTCCAAACCCTGACTCTTTCCTCTTCAATTCCCTCATCAAAGCCTCTTCAAAGTTTGGGTTCCCCCAACACACTGTTTTCTTCTATCACCGTATGCTTGGTTTCCGTATTGCGCCTTCGAGTTACACCTTTACGTCTGTGATTAAATCGTGCGCCGATATTTCGGCTCTGAGACTCGGTAGATGTGTTCATTCGCACGTTTTGGTGTGTGGGTATGGCTCGGATTCATTTGTTCAGGCCGCTCTGGTTACCTTGTACTCCAAGTCTGGTGATTTGGGTGCTGCTCGGAAGTTGTTTGATAAAATGCCAGAGAGGAGCGTTGTAGCTTGGAATTCGATGATTTCGGGTTACGAGCAAAATGGGTTTTCGAGGGAAGCGATTGAGGTGTTTAATCAGATGCGGGAATTGGGTGTTGAACCTGATTCGACAACTTTCGTGAGTGTCTTAGCGGCTTGTTCTCAGTTGGGAGCTCTTGGTTTAGGCTGCTCGGTGCATCATGATGTTATTAACAATGGGCTGCATGTGAACGTAGCTCTAGGTACTTCGCTAATTATCATGTATGCTAGATGTGGGAATGTGAGCAAAGCAAGAGAAATTTTTGATTCGATGAAAGAACGAAATGTCATAGCTTGGACGGCTATGATCTCAGGGTATGCAACGAATGGTTATGGTAGTCAAGCTGTGGAACTCTTTTGCCAAATGAGAGCTCATGGCCCTGTTCCTAACACTGTCACATTTGTGGCAGTCTTGGCGGCGTGCGCTCATGCAGGGCTAGTTCACGAAGGGCGGGAGACATATGCAAACATGAGGCAAGAGTATGGCTTAGTGCCAGGAGTGGAGCACCATGTTTGCATGGTCGATATGCTTGGGCGTGCTGGGCTTCTCACCGAAGCATATCAATTGATTAAAGAGCTTGGTCCTGAGGAGGCCGCCCCAGCTGTTTGGACTGCCATGCTTGGGGCTTGCAAGATGCATAAGAACATCGATCTTGGAGTAATAGTTGCTGAGCATCTTTTGGAGGTTGAGCCTGAAAATCCAGGTCATTATGTAATGCTTTCGAATATATATGCACTGGCAGGTTGGATGGATCGAGTGGAAATGGTTAGAAACATGATGATAGGAAGAAGCTTGAGAAAGCAAGTTGGCTATAGTACAATAGATGTGAACCAGAAAACGTACCTGTTTAGCATGGGTGACAAGTCCCATCCCGAGACAAATGAAGTTTATCAGTATTTAGATGAACTGATGTCGCAGTGCAGGGAAGCAGGTTATGCTCCCGTACCTGAATCAGTGATGCATGAAGTGGAAGAAGAAGAGAGGGAATATGCCCTTAGATATCACAGCGAGAAGCTTGCGATCGCATTTGGGCTACTGAAAACCAAGGATGGCATGGCCATTAGGATTGTAAAGAACCTTCGAATGTGCGAGGACTGCCATGAAGCAATTAAGTTTATTTCAGTTGTTACCAAAAGAGAAATTATTGTTCGTGATAAGCTTCGCTTCCACCACTTTCAAGATGGCTCTTGTTCATGTATGGATTACTGGTGACCCTGAGCTGGTCCAACTAATTGCCTGGTAGCAATGCTTTGTGAGCCTGAGCTGTTAGAGGATTTCAGCTATACCTTACCACAAATAGAAGACTCATAATAGGGTCTTTTGCATTGCTTGGACAGCCAACAAACGCATGGCAGATCATTGTTGCAGGGATCAAGTGCAATGCTATGACTTTCTGGTCCATCTATGGAAAGGCCATTACCAATTGTTGTTAGAACCATGCTCAATCAGATTATAAGTCGAAATGCTGAATTGCATAATCAAATCAGAGATGCCCTGGACGATTGATTCTTCGTTAGGCCAGGCGAAATATGTCAAGGTCTAACTAGATTGTGTTATTGAAGACCCTCTCATCTTTGCTCTTGATCTTGCATTAAAGAATCATATATAGTTATAGGGTTTGTTTTAGCAATCTTGCACCATTATTTGTGCTCAAAATCTCTTTTCCGAGCCAATTTGTGCATAGGAATTTGGTGAATATTGAAATGAGAAAACTCTCTTTTGTGACACAAGTACTCTTGTAAACTGGGACTTCAGAAGCAAAATATAGTTGCTGATGGGCTTGCTGGGCTGAGCTTATCCGGGGCCTTTTGGCTCCCTTTTATTTGTTACCAAAAAAATATTAGAACTTTAATTTCCGCCTGGAGGATGCGTGGAATATCTTTCATAGATGCGCGTAACAAATCTTTTTATGGAAACAAATGTATGTTGCTATTAAATTAAATGCATGGGACATGCATAGTGGGGTTAAATAAATCTTATTCGTTGGGTTAAAGTAGTGAGCAGAATTATTTCCGAAGAAGAAATCCAATAAACAACGTCAAATTGTAGCTGTTGGAATGTTACAAAATCATAACTCTGCATCCTTAATAATATCATTGATTATTAATGGTTACTTCCAAGATAATGAAGAGACATATTAAATGTGTCACTAATTGTTCTTCTTAAAGTAGTTGCGGCTATATAGCCACGTGATATACCACGACTATGTCGTGTAAATCTATGAAGAAAGTGATTAAATAAACGTTAATTTTATTTACCAAAAACAAATAAACTTTATAATAAATTCCTGTAAGAGATTCTCTCCCTTTCTTTCTTTCATGATATGAGACCCACGAGGGTGAAAACTCGTGTGAAAAACCCCATATGCCCACAGATCCGGAAAACGACATCGCAAAAGGCCGAAAGAAACAAAAAGGACATTGCAAAACCCACTTTTATTATGCTTCAGAGCTGTTCTAATGACAAAAACAAAATCGATAAAAGCCCACTTTATTCCCAATCTCAAGAACCAACCCATCGCAAACGGTCCGCAGTCTGTCCCAATCATAAATTAACAATTTATATACACTAATGTTGCATTTATTTACTGTCCAAATTAATTAACGGGATGTTTTTCAAGGATTTATAGTAAAGTTTATGTTTCAAGAACTGAAAGGACATTTTTTTTATTATCATTAATGAATTGTACAATTTACTAATTTTATTTTCTTTTAATACAAACGATTATGAGAAATGAAATTCAAACACACGACTTCAGACGCGTGAAATAATCATTATATGAACAACATTTTGGGGCATTATTTTTCACTCATGAAAAAGAAACTTTCAACTTTTATCTTTTTTTTGGGTAATTTTGTTTATGTTGTTGATCATTTGGGAATGACCTAAGTGCATGTACTTTTTTTCTTTTTAAAATCCTTTTTGTTGGCTGCTCTTTTTTCTGATAAGAGAAATAAAAGGGATATTCCTTCTTTTATTTTATTCAGGCTCCCATGTGCATGTGTGACACATAATCGTTTGATTCGCACTATCCCAAATTCAAAACCTTCATCATACGCCGTCGTTTCGACAAACATAGAACGTGGGTTGCTTGCTGCTTGGTTTCTTGCGTCGCGTATCGTCCTTCCCTCCGATTTTCTACACGATATTCTGATTTCTGATAATGGAGAGATACTCAGTGGTGGGTACCACCTCTTCCCTCCTCAGTATCTCCACCATCCTCCGCCACCCGCCCTCTGGCGCGTGCCTCCACCTTACAACATCCACTCGTCTCTTTCAGTAGCATATGCGTGTACGTTACTTAAAGCCCTAACAAAAACCCAGCACACCATTTCTCTCACTCTCTCACTTCCACAAACAACCAACACAACTCAACTCAGAAAAAGAAAAGAAAAATGAAACCCAAAGACCAGCTTGAGACCTGAAGAAGAGAGCTGAAGAAGAAGAGAGGAGAGCTATGAATCTTCGGCAGCGTCCGCAGCCGACGCGCGGCGGCCGTGGACCACTCCACGCGCCGCTGCCGCCCATGCAACAGGCCTACAACATCATCCCCATCCACGACCTCCTGGCCGACCACCCTTCGCTCCGCTATCCCGAGATACGCGCCGCTGCCGCCTCCTTACGCGCCGTTGGGGACCTTCGGAAGCCGCAGTTTGTCCCCTGGAACCCGAGCTACGACCTCATGGACTGGCTCGGCCTCTCCTTCGGGTTCCAAATCGACAACGTTCGGAACCAGCGGGAGCATTTGGTTCTCCACCTGGCCAACTCCCAAATGCGGCTCCAGCCTCCGCCGAACCTGGTCGACTCGCTCGACGCCGGCGTTCTCCGGCGGTTCCGGGGCAAATTGCTGCAGAACTACACCTCCTGGTGCTCCTACATGGGCCGGAAGTCGAACGTCGTCATTTCGAGACGCCGCGTTGATCTCCGCCGCGAGCTGCTCTACGTGGCGCTGTACCTGCTGATTTGGGGCGAGTCTGGTAACCTTCGTTTCGTCCCTGAATGTGTTTGTTATATTTACCATCATATGGCCATGGAACTGAACAAAGTGCTTGATGAGTCTATCGACCCGGATACGGGTCGCCCGTTTGTGCCTACGGTTTCGGGGCACTGTGGGTTTTTGAAGAGTGTGGTTATGCCCATTTACCAGACCATTAAGACTGAGGTTGAGAGCAGCAGAAATGGCACTGCGCCTCACTCTGCTTGGCGCAATTATGATGATATTAACGAGTACTTTTGGTCTCGGAGGTGTTTCCAGAGGCTGAAATGGCCTATTAATTATTCAAGTAATTTTTTCGCTACCACCCCGAAGAATAAGAGGGTCGGGAAGACGGGGTTTGTGGAGCAGAGGTCGTTTTGGAATGTGTTTAGGAGCTTTGATAAGCTCTGGGTTTTGTTAATCTTGTT